CTAAACAAGACAAGTGCAACACCAGTGCTGATTAGTATCATAGGAGTTTAACACGTTTTACGTAGAGTGGTATAAATCTCGATACTCGCGATGTGCAGTAGTCGTGAAATATATTTTTCACTAGTGTTTTCCATATCACGGCTCGTGAAACTCCATTGTAGTCGTACGCGAACGATTAACCACAACTACCCAACTGAAAAGCCACTTTCGTCTATTACTGAATCAGCGACTAATATTTTGCGATGATCTCGAAAGCACGGCGGTCCAATTGTATCCGTCAGGAACGGCAGCATCGGGTTGAACACTACGACGGGCACACCGAAGGACCTGTATCAACCACCTCTGCCTCTCCGTCACGTGCCACGAAATTCGCTTACCTGAGGCCCTCTAGCCACTCCTTTCGAAATGCGCTACCTCCACAAGCATCCAAGATAAGAATCTAACATTAGCGCACAGCGAAGATTTCATGAAAAATGAGCATACCGTAAACTCACCACATCAACCCCTCGCTGCTTAGCTCTGATCAAAGCCTGATAGAACTTCTCAGCAACAGCGGAGCCATCGAAGATATAACTCTCCATCCACACACGGTCCTTCGCCGAATCAATCGCATCCAACATGATGGGAAAACAGACGTCCCCACCTTCCAGTATCTAACAAATGCAAATCTAACTACGGAAAGTTTCTCACATGCCAGGCGTTGGTGAACTCATTTCGTGAATCAAAATTATTCACAAAATCGTTTAGGACTGTTCCTAATTCCGTGTGAGAATTAATTACATAATCTTTGACGATTATTCCACATTCCATGTAAGAATTAATTACACGATCGTTTAGGATTGTTCCACATTCCATGTGAAGATTAATTACACGATCGTTTAGGATTGTTCCACATTCCATGTGAAAGCCAATTATAGTATATATTTTCTATAAGAAATACGGGACCACTGAGCTACAGAATGGACCAACCTATGGCCACTTGCGCTATATGGCCGTAACATCAGTCGGGAAACGCAGAGTGGATGCTTTTCAACTATGATCAACCGTGCCTTCCAAGAAGCAATGTACCCTCGTGCCCACCTGGACGTCATTTCCCGTGGAGAACTTGCCGTGTCTATGCATAGTGTGAAGTATTTCAGCCCATTTCTCCCTAGCCGTGATAATCTCATCATCAGTATAGTCAGGACACACATTCTTGTTGTATGCTCGGCACACTGCTTGGACCACTTCGCGTGCTGCCTCTGGTCCACAACTACGCCCACCTGACACTTCAACTCTCTAGACCAGGAAATTTACATTCAACTCAAATAAACCACAATAATCCACGCAATTGCCTTACAACCCATATATCTGCGATCGTGTGTAACGCCATAGTCTATGTCGCCATACTATAAGTTCGGCAATACTAAGTACCCCTCTACTCTACAATAGTTCTCCTCTATAGAAATTAAATACAACAGTACTCAATACTTCATAGCTGATGACCTTTCGAGTTTACTCTCTTCTCAACTGCTGTGTTAACAGTGCAGCGTAGCAAGCAACTGCCTTTCGAGACGATTCCCAACATCCTCACGTCCCTTTCCAGCATTATTACATTCCTTCATAACAGTATCGAGTTGAGCCTGCTTTTGTTTCAGCCGTTCCTGCCCTAGTGCCCATCTTTTATAGTCTCCTATTTTCTCTCGTAAACGGGTGAATACCATCAGCAATGTCGTTGGATGAGGAGTAGGTGAGAATACATTTCAACTGAATTCTTATCATTTCTTATCGATTCCACGACCGGTGGGGGAAATATGCACACGCTCAACTACATGGGCTAGTGACAATATGAAAATTCTGAGGAAATTTTGGGAAATTCCTAAAAGGTTTCTGTATACTTCTACCCGATTTCGTGTGTAAACTTTTGTAATCAGTGAGGAAACACTCGAGCTCGGCTCAGGGGTTAATGAATAATGAACTTCTCAAGCACGACAAAATTCACAATAACTTTCACTTTCGATCTCTGCCCTGCCGATAGAACGCAACGCGTAGCTGATTATCGATACGGGGAAGATTCTAGATGCGGCTGACCCCTCGTGACTGGCCGCCTAACGCTGACCAGACCCGATGTGAACAGCTATCTCTCGGTAGACCCTGGTTGAAGAGAAAGAGAAAGAATAGCCTCGTACCATCACACGAAGTAACTCGTGTCCATAGCCGAGGTCAGCACATTTTGCACGTTTGCAAATGGAATGAACGAATCCGCGAATGTCCCTCAACACATGCGGATCGACATATGGGCGATATGTCGCATTGAAGGCTATGGCCTTCGAGAGTTGCGGAATATGGCAAAATACACCAAAAACCTTGAGGAAATATCTTCAGCCGAGAATACTACAAAATGATATTCCTACAGTCCTTATGTCGCTCATGTTCGAGGAAATCGACCTTCGTCGCTATTCCAAGTCGTCGGTGTTGTTACCGTGCTTTGATGATTGAAATTACAATGTTTCATTCCATGATAATAATAACATGAATAATGAGCAATATTCCGCTCGATGCTCAGTGAGTTGATACTCAACGCAACTACAGTGGAAACGAATCGGCATTCCTTGACAAAACATTTTCAATCATTTCTCCTACCTCTTAGAAACCTTCCATCAAGAGACGATATACTAGAAATTCACTATTATGTATATCATCATGAATAGTATCCGCCCACGTTTTACCTATTGTATAGCAAACAACGCACCCAAGCTAAGAGAACAGAAAGTCATATATCGATAAGGAAGTGTATATCGCAACGGTTGCCGTCCTTTGCTTTATCGATCTCCATACCGTGCAGAGTGATAGCCTTTATTTCAGTGCCTTGTTCATGACGACTAAGATCCATATGCTCACCGAATCTGAACAATAGACATGAGCGACCCTCAGTCCTGAGCTGAGCATCAAGAGCTTCCACTCATTCCGAGATTCCATCATTCTTGCGTTTTCGAGCGTAAACCATAGAAAAAAACAAGGCTCATCATAGAAGCGTAAACCATCAAGTATGCAATAGATGCAACAGATGTTCAACACGCACGAGAAAATATAGCACTAAAGTTGACTTTTCCCGGGATGACACTGGTTGGAAACTAGCTATTCGCAGATCGAGACGCTCAAAACATCTTCGACACCTTGACAGAATTATCCCCTTCAATTGCTATTCCACGGCCCAGACAGCCCAGTCAATCGAACGGAGTGACATTCCAACGTGAAAACTTCCTGGTTTATCACTCTCGGAAAAACCCAAGAGGCAAAGGGGAGGTTCCAAAGAGCCCAAAAGAACGATGGGAAGTCCCCAGCGAGGACCGTCATCCGAAACAACTCATGCTATCCTCCCATTAAGTATTCTGGCTCGCTGTGACCTACTCTTACACATATGCATCAATAGCTCCCTTCTCTAGATCCAGTTTCTCGATTCGGACACATCTCGACAGGAAACTGCCTCTCTCATAGAACAGGAAGAGAAGCTCCTCCAGGAACTTATATCTAACAAGGCGATGGACGCTATTGCTATACTCTACCAGCCGTGATAGTCCAATCCATGGTCGTTATCAAGAGGCATGTAGCCCCAGAGGGAAAGGAGGTAAGCATAGGGTCGGCACACGAAGGATGATCGATGCAACAGTGGCCTTTAAAATGCCAACAGAGTGACCTTAAGCTCAAAGAGGAGGCTTTTACTAGGATCTTTCGGATGGGGCAGTTATGCCACCACACCAAGATATGCCTTAGTATGAACGATTTTCACCGGTGGGGCAGCTATGCCACCACACCATTGGTGTGACACCAAGATATGCCTTAGTACGAACGATTTTTACTGGTGGGGCAGCTATGCCACCACACCAAGATACGCCTTAATACGAACGATTTTCACTGGTGGGGTAGCTATGCCACCACACCGAGATATGCCTTAATATGAGTCTTAGTAGCCACGCAGCCGATTTCCGTAATATCATCGAGACTGAAATTATTCCCGTCGTACTCCTGCGAAATAGATTGTATTTGAGCATATGTCTCGAGATAGTGGCATAGCCGCCCCGGCCCGAGAAAATAACTATACTACGGGATATTTTCTTGTGATGGCATAGCGGCCCCAGCCGACAACTATGATCCCCCGAAACAGGCCCATAAAAAGTATAGACCATTCCAATGCGACACATTACGTCAAGTTGTGGGTGTTGGCCTCCTCATAGGACTCCAATCGTACGGTGAATGGCTCTTTCAAAACAGGACGCACTTGCGTTATCTCCGTCATATACCTACATAACATTATGCCAAGTCCAACTCCCTGCTACGGATCATTCATGTATTAGTTCCTCAGATGTGCCAGGGCTCAGTAATCTTGTCCCGAAACGATCTACTGATTCGAATCAGAAGACCAACGACCGTCAATGACGGTCCGTCTTCACATTCAACTTCGCCCATGACGGTGAGTCTCCCTAGTAGACGAAGAGCTAGTCACATACCCTAATCGTACCCGGTAAGAGCCTCCCCGCTGTTTTCGAGAGCCTCCTTGTAGTCCCTACCCCAAGCGTGGATTATAACATCGGCAGGATGATCGAGATACTCCCACTTCCGTTCACGGTCGACATCAGATGGACCATCGCTCTGTTCGTGAGACATTCAGCTCTGGTAAAAATCAATACTATTTCGGGAAAAATACATGATAAGGAAATATCAATCGAGCCATGCTCACTCGCCCGAAGTCCTAGGCGTCGGGAGCTCATCGGCTGATCATCCGTCTCTCTAACGCGAAATCAATATAACTTGCTGAGACTCTTTTTCTTTATCTACAAGATCTACAATGACAAAACATCTTCAAGCAAGGGAGTGGCATGCGAACAAGCCCCGATATCCTAGACGAGGTGTTTCCAGAGGTACAAAACTTGAGAACGGCAGAGACGAATCGTCTCAGGCGATTCAATCCGCACGATACTGTCAATAGAACTCGCTGCTCAACAGTTCTCGCTATAACTAACCTCAATCTCGACGGCGCACTGTTTTGGGAACTTCAATTACGACTGCGCATCAACTTGGGAACTTCGGTTTCGACAACGCGTGAGTTTGAGAAATTTGAACTAAATTTTTGACGATGCATCTAAGGAAGTCCAAATTCAAAGACCACAAATTACTAGGGAGAAATAATATGCAATCTCGGGATCGAACCGGCGATCATCCGATAGACAACACGCGTGCTTAACCAACTCAAATAAAATGATCCTTATGTAAATCCCGACATTATTGTACTTCAATTTCGTGCTTGATCTTGTAAGGAAGTCCTTGTCCTTACATTAGGACGTCTTCAGCCTTAGCAAGCTTAGAATTCTAATATACGAGGGGGAAACCCCTGTAAAACAGTGTTACCTTACCTGAGGAATCCTTACGTGTGGGTCCTGAACTAAAAAATGTCCTCGTGGAAGGTTTCATATGAAATAGGCCCCGGGCTGCATGGTTGGGCCTTTCTCATTAACTCTAGGTTACCTGGCCCTGCTGGACTCTAGGTTCTCAGGCCTTTGGTTTCTCGATCCGCCCATCTCCCCGGATTGAACCTACGTGGTGCATCCTTTCGACGGCGTTTTCGTTCGCTTGTGTCACATCCCTACTGTCTGCAGCTCGAGTAAGGGAGATCATAGTTTTAACGGTGAGGTACAGATTGACAAGGTGTAGTATTCATGATGATAGAAGCTCAGTTGGAACACTTGGGAGTCTGTGACCACGTGAAATAAGCTCTCCATGGCAATCACTAACACTCTACTGATATCGTATGGCGCGATGAATGGGAATATTCTCCAAATAATGCGTGGCGTAGTGACTCTAAAGGGAGTCTGTAGTCAACGTTGGTTAACCTTGATTGCACTATCTCTTGACTTTAACAGTACCTCTCTTTTTTTAATGACGGATATCAAGAAGGATACGTCACAAATGGTAATCCTGGAATAGCAGTCGTCGATAAAGTCCTCGAGGGTTGTTATTAATCATAACCAGTGCCGGAATATATGATCGCTTCTCTCAGCCGAGTCCAGGGTTTTACTCACTGATCATAGGAGGTTACATACAAGTTCGGGTGAAAGTGTACAGAAACCAATAAGAATTTCCTCTATTTTTTCCCAGAATTTCTACAAATGTCACTACAGATGTAGTTGACCATGTGCATATTTTCCCACACCGATGATGTGAACTTAATCCTTGTTATTTTAACGATCTAGGCCTTGTTACGAGGTTATTCGTGGTTGAACAATATACACAATCCACCCAATACAGGGTGGAAAATTCATTGATTTTTTTTCTGCGAAAAACTGTTCTTGAACTTTTTTCCCGATGTCAGGGCATCTCCCACCATACCGAAGTCTTCAAGGCATCTGATGGTTGCGAGCTGTTCTTGAGGCGCTGGTCATCAGAACAGACCAATACGGCAGCCCATGACCGCAACAACGCCTTGGCGGTTTTCATCGTAAGAGAGACACTGTGAGGGGGGAGTGTTTATTTGATACGGATGAGTCATAGCAATTTCTTCTGATGGATATTCACGAGTCACACAAAAGGTGTAACACCACCTACACCTCAGAAAAGCTTTACAAGATTGCAATGTGAGATTTAAGTCAATTTGGCTGGGGAAGTGTACTATCCCGTCATCCCTACTTTGTGTGATTTATGGTCACTTATTTGAGTTGCCGATTTGTGCACGAAATTCCATGCGCAAAATGCAGTTTTCATTTCGTTAGCTCTCGATACATCCTGTCTCGAATCGAGAGTCCCTGGTATGGCTAGGTCCACGGCATGGGAGAGCACTCGCTGAGGTACCAGGAGTTGGCCTCGCACTTGGTCACAGCCCTTCCGCCTGGATCGCTGGTCTACTGTCATGACCAACGTGGGCATGGGCAGACTGCTGTGAGGTTGGGCAAGGGGACGGAGGCTTTGGGGGAGGGTAAGGGAGAGGAGGCGGTGTGACAATAGGGACTTTGTTTGTAACTAAAATATTCTTCATAGAGAAATTATACTTGTGATTTGAAAGTAGAAGTATGAGATTTTAATGTGGTTTAGAATTACTCGTAACGTTTCGTTGTGTGAGTTTGGAATAGTCAATGATGATGATAAGCATTATTTCATAGAGCAACACTACTCTCACCAGGCTGATAGTAGCCTGTATGGGAGTATTGCTGCCAACTCAGCAGCTCCAAAATGGAGCAGCCAATCCCTGGTACATGTACGAAAACAAATTCACGTGTATAGTGTATGTATAGATTGATATGCGTTACTCTTCTCTAACTACCTTCGAGCTGGCATAGAAAAGCTAGTACATGGGCACGACTACTGGAAACACACTGAGCCGGCAGAAATGTAGGGTCATATGTGAGTGTCGAGTATTCAGTACAAGGATGTCGGTAGGAAATCTATACGCCTTGGAAAGTATTGGTCTCGCTTCGGTACAGCGACGACTGATTTAGTAACTAATTCCTACGTGGAAAAAATAACTGCAACAATCTCGTCTATGCCTCGGGTATACGTCCAAGGCGTGAGGTTTTACGCCTAGTGAATATTATTGATTTGAAGGGATAGTATTTTCGTGTTCACAGACTCAACTGATAGATGAGACTAAACAGGTTGAGCAACTCCGATGTAGTGTTCCCCTTCAGTACCCTGTGAGCACGGTTTGGACCCGATGTCGGTGATGGCTGATGATGTTGTATGTATGGTGACGGAGAAGTTACCTCGTGGTATGGAGTATCTCCTAATAGGCCACAGCATGGGCTCAGTCGTTACGCGATTGGCCTTGGAAAGGCTCATGCAGCTAGTAATACGCCTTAGAGGGGCTCGTCATTCAGCTAGTAATACCCATTGGAGAGGCATTTCCTAGTACATTACGAGTAGATTTCAAATGAGCATTGTATGGTATTTACTCTTATTCTCTTTGATTCTAGGATGAATCGAACTTAGCTCCATGCCTCACTAGAATCCGTCAATCCTTGGTGATAGTAGTGCTGACAGTTGCACTATTCCTATATTATACCCTCTCATAGTGCACTACGTCATATTCAGGATGTCCCGAGTCCTGTGGGCATGCTCCTGTCAGGGCCTCCAGCTTCTCCAGGAAGGCTCCTCCATGCTATGTAAGGGTGTACGTATACGACGATGTGTTCGCATATAGAGTTGTAGATATCAGTGCTTGCTATGGGCAATACGATCAACGAGCTTCGGACCGTCACTCGCCTCGAAAATAATTTTCGGCGGATACGACTCGCAAATACGCAGTCTCGTTAAGAATCCTTCTCTGCCGCAGCACTCATGGTTGTCCATCAACGAGGACAATGTACGAAAGTGAGGAATCTTGCATATCTTGCTTAATCTTGCATTTCCTCAACGCTAGGTATACTGAAGACCCCTTTTGTGGTCATGACGTTTCTATTGATCTGTGGTCTTCTCTTCTGTCTAATATCACTAAGCTGAATGAGGGGCTCACCTTTGGCGAAATGAAGGAGGTTTCGAAAGTGAAGGTTTTGGTCATGGGTGGTGCTGATGACATGTGCACGGAAAGAGGCAAGGGAGTTCACGAGGTAGAGGCTCGTGCTCCGTGGTGTTTACAACATAGAGAGTGACTACTTGTGATTTTGTTGGCTCCTCCTAGACTCCTTAGCTGGCAGCTAGGTTATATATCCTCTGTGAATGAGAATTTCACATAATTCTTGCTACCTCCATATAGTTCGCTGTAGCATTTCAGTGTTGTGAGACTAGTATCGTTCGCTAATCATTTCACTATTCCCGTTTCGTCATTGTTTCTCCAGTGGTAGTGCTAATTGTACTTCGTCTTTTTCTCCTCAGTGTGCTGCGAGTCTAGCGGAAGTGCCTGGGTTGGAGGTCAAGCAGCTGCTGTATTCTAAAGCCCGCCACGAGATCTGGCATGAAACGGAAGATATGAGGATGGAAGCTGTACATGACACCATAGCATGGGCGAAGCGCTGTGGCCAGGCCGGCCGACGGTCGAGGTTGTAGACTTTTTAGAAAACGAGCTAAATTGGAACGTTTCCGCTTGGGAGCTGCCTTTGTGTTGTGTTGTGGATATGAGGATGTTGATTGACGGCCCGAATCGCCGAAGTTCGTGAGTTGTCGTGAGATAGTGCCTGGCGTCTGACGAGACAGCTGTCAACTTGGACACAGCTCAACTGGTGGTTTCGTTTCAGAAGCACAGTTTACATATCTCACGAGAAAGCAGTCGTTGTATGATCGGCTCAGTGTCTCCTTCACTCGGGAGCCTTCGCAATTACCATTGTAAACTCCTACGGATGTTGTGTTACTGAGAGTATTGCTCGATACTTTTCAACAAAAAGAATGGGTTTCAGGAAATGGTTCACGAACATAGAGAAACAAGGAAGAAAGCAGAAACTCTTAGGAAACCAACTTTGCAACCTCATGCAGTGTCACCTTGGGCGATCGACTGAGCAGGCCGATAGTACTTCGATAGGTAGCAAACGAAACCTCCAATGATGACCATGCGCCTCTCCATAAGGCATAACTTCTCCACTCCAGTTGCTGCTGTATCAAGGCGTTTGTACCCTTTGCTGAGCAAAACACAGCGGCCTGTGTCGGGTTTGAGTACCATACTAACAGCACGAAGAACACGAGCCATGTCGGCCTTCTTGAGTTCAGTACGGTTCCCAAAAGGTAGGTCCGTAACGATCCAATCAATGCTATCGTTGTCAACATATGTGTCGAGATAGGCTGCATCCCAATCTCGTGCATGAACGCTACTTCCTTGGGCCAAATGGGGACGAGCCAATTGACAGTTCTTGATGGCCTGAGATGTTGTCGCCCTGTTGATATCACCAGAAAGGGCATTGACGTTTGTGAAGTTCGTTGCGGCCTCAATAGGGATAGTGCCGAGACCTCCCATGATATCGAGCATGTTACCATGCATAGGAAAACCATCCGTCGCGAAGAGAAGCAAGAGAAGGGCTACGGATGGCCTCATTTTTGTACAGTGAGGAACCGATCCAAGCTGAAGATCTCTACTCATGTAGTCACAATACGGTACTACATTGAAATCCGCTTTCTCGGGCCGTGCACGACTGCCTCGCTGTGGCTTGCCAACTGCGATTCCAAGGAAGACGCTGCGTTCGAATACGATCCCAACATACTCGACCTCAGAGTGCCCGAGGCTAACGTTCCAGTCCGGATGCCTCATCAGCACTGCGTGGCCCATCGTACGCATAACATCGTAGGATTTGAAGTCGTGCTTGGCACCATCCCTGACGCAAGAAGCCCGAAACGAATATGGTGTATCTGCATGAATGCCGACGATCTCCTCAGCACATCTCCAATCAGACTTCTCGAACATCATCGTCTCTATAACAATGGGAGAGATATCGGCAACGTCGAGGTCGTAAGTGAGTAGGGCTAGAATGGCTTGAGCTACACGGCACTCACGAACAAAGCGTCGGACATCATCCAAGTTGGAAACTTTCACCAGTATCTTTCCCATAGAAGCTGCGCCACCACAGGCCTTCCCTTGAGTCAATGACCATAATATCTCAACTTCCATGCTGATATCCATCCACCGGATATAACGGGTGGCGAGCTCCTCTAGGCCGCCAGAGACAAGAACGAGTAAGGCATATTTGAAGTTGGAAGCCGCGACGAGCGACATTGAAACAACTACAAGCAAGCAAATAACTAGAGCTGCGATTCTATGGATCATAATCAAACATGCTGTAGCCGTGAGATGGAGCACGACTCGAATCAACAAGATGACGCGCGCGACTCGCTTAACAGTACATTCCGATGTGAACGAGAGCTACCATGATGCCCATGCTCCCTACTAATATTACTACCATTCTCGGCTTTGACATACAGCATTAAACTACACTACCTTCATGAGCTGCAGACTAACATCTCGACTAAGCTTTCGGTACACGAGTATTTCAGGCTCAGGCACGCTGAAGACGCTCAACCGTGTCCTAGGTCGAAGCGCGCCCGATACAAGAGTATCTTAGGTTGAAGCTTAAAGGATACGGAATAGGCCCATTTGAGGCACACAATCAAAAAATCGATCACCACGGTGCCCCTCAGCCTCTACAGATTCTCTTTTTCTGAGTTTAAGATGTGAAAATTCGAAGACCACCTTCCCTCCGAGAATAAATCCTCCTTCCCTCGGAGTGATATCAATTTATTTTGGCGGGGTCGCTATGCCACAACGTCAAGATATGTCTTATTACAATCAGCTCCACTTGGCGGGGTCGCTATGCCACAGCCTCAAGATATGCCTTAGTACAATCAGTTCCACTTGGCGGGGTCGCTATGCCATGACCTCAAGATATGCCTTAGTACAATCAGTTCCACTCGCCGGGGTCGCTATGCCACGACCTCAAGATATGCCTTAGTACAATCAGTTCCACTCGCCGGGGTCGCTATGCCACGACCTCAAGATATGCCTTAGTACAATCAGTTCCACTTGGCGGGGTCGCTATGCCACAACCTCAAGATATGCCTTAGTACAATCAGTTCCACTTGGCGGGGTCGCTATGCCATGACCTCAAGATATGCCTTAGTACAATCAGTTCCACTCGCCGGGGTCGCTATGCCACGACCTCAAGATATGCCTTAGTACAATCAGTTCCACTTGGCGGGGTCGCTATGCCATGACCTCAAGATATGCCCTAGTACAATCAGTTCCACTCGCCGGGGTCGCTATACCACGACCTCAAGATATGCCTTAGTACAATCAGTTCCACTTGGCGGGGTCGCTATGCCACAACCTCAAGATATGCCTTAGTACAATCAGTTCCACTTGGCGGGGTCGCTATGCCATGACCTCAAGATATGCCTTAGTACAATCAGTTCCACTGCGGGGTCGCTATGCCACAACCTCAAGATATGCCTTAGTACAATCAGTTCCACTTGGCGGAGTCGCTATGCCATGACCTCAAGATATGCCTTAGTACAATCAGTTCCACTCGCCGGGGTCGCTATGCCACGACCTCACGATATACCTTAGTACAATCATTTCCACTTGGCGGGGTCGCTATGCCACAACCTCAAGATATGCCTTAGTACAATCAGTTCCACTTGGCGGGGTCGCTATGCCACGACCTCAAGATATGCCTTAGTACAATCAGTTCCACTTGGCGGGGTCGCTATGCCACAACCTCAAGATATGGCTTAGTACAATCAGTTTTGCTTGCCGAGGCGACTATGCCACAGCTTCAAGATATGCCCTAGAACAATCGGTCATATCTTACCGGGGCGGGTATGCCACCAGTGGGGGCCCACCACTTCAAGGATTAGTACGACGAGTTTTTTTCAGGCACATGAGATAAGATGATCAGTTTCGTCGGCACAACGGAAGTAACTTCAACTCCGTCCAAGCGCGGTATTCCATTTTGCCATAAGTGAGACTGATGCCACTTTAGGGGTAGACAAGCCATCACGGGGTTCATCACTGAACCCATGATAACGTTAATCCTCTGAGTGATAACCTCGGATTGCCATAATCGAGTTGGAAAGGGACCAAAGTCCTTGTGTGTAATTCATATCTGAAGCAAAATAGGCCTCGAAATATGTAATCCATATACACAGTCTTTTCCCCTTTTATTACCTATCAGTGAGTTGCAGCGCCTAGCAAGTTGATAGTACCGACCTACCCGCTAGAGCATTTCACCTACGCAACGCCACGTCATTAACACACAATCTTTTCGTGTTTAAGGTCTCCTTTTAGTATCCTCGGAGCTAAGTATCCACTACTGAGCTAGTCTGCTTGTTGCTTGTTGATGGATGATTGTATAGACTTGGCGTGATCGATTCTATAGGCATTTTGGCGCGCGCTTCAACCTTTTCGACTAGACTGCACCGTGATGTACTTTTGGTGCTTGAATGTTTGGTTAATCATTTACGTGTATCATGCCGAGGGCCTGAGTGGAGAGATTTGCTAGTTTTCGGGATGGATTTCTGTTGAGATGATGGATGGATGTTATGGGGCTAGGATGGAGTATGTAGGATCGAAGTGCTATATATACTCGAGTAGTCAATTCTTGGCAGCACCGACGAGGTCTAGTTCGAGTGCTAACCAGACAATAGAGCGACTATGGAAAGCATTATACGGTAGGAGAGGAGGTTCGGTATCTTGAAAGGGAACATACGTAGCTTGCCCAAGCTTTGTGTTCATTGTCTCCTTGCCTCGTTTCGCTGTGAGTTGACATTTCCTGTAGCTCGATTGATGATATGTGTGATGCTCGAGAGAGCTCATGGATAGTATTGTGAACGGACGTGGGATGAGAATATGGGGTATTTGTGAGAAACGTACGACTGTGACTCTATCCTAGTTCAATCAAACCATGGCATCTCCCAGCCAGGTCATCGTCGTCGGAGGCGGTCTCGCCGGTTTCTCTGCCGCTAACACGGTATTGGAGAACGGTGGCAACGTTCTTTTGATCGATAAATCTGCCTTCTGTGGCGGTAACTCTTCCAAGGCTACCTCTGGTATCAACGGTTCTTGCACTAGAACTCAGAAGAAGCTCGGTGTTGAGGATTCCAACGAGCTCTTCGAGTCTGATTGCATGAAGGGTGGCTCCAAGAGCCCCGAGCTCATCAAGACTATGGTCGAGCATTCTGGTAACTCGGTCAACTGGTTGATGGATAACTTCGATCTCGATTTGTCCCTCCTCGCTCGTTTGGGTGGCCACTCTGCCGAGCGTACCCATCGTGGTAAGGAGCGTTTCCCCGGTATGACCATCACTTACGCCCAGATTCAGATGGCGGAGGCTATTTCCAAGGCCCAGCCCAGCAGATGCCAAATCATCAACAAGGCTCGCGCCACTGACCTCATCAAGAATGAGAAGGGTGAGGTTGTTGGTGTCGAGTACACCACTAAGGATGGCCAGACCCATAAGGTCTATGGCCCTGTTATCCTCGCTACTGGTGGTTTCGGTGCTGATTTCTCCAAGGACGGTCTTCTCGCCAAGTACCGCCCCGATCTCCTCAAGCTCTCTACCACCAATGGTGAGCACTGCACTGGTGATGGAATCAAGATGGGTATGGCCGCCGGTGCCGACACTGTCGATCTCGAGTGGGTACAGGTCCATCCTACTGGTCTTGTTAACCCTAAGGATCCCGACTGCAAGGTCAAGTTCCTCGCTGCTGAGGCTCTCCGTGGTGTTGGTGGTCTTCTCCTCGATGCCGATGGAAAGCGTTTCTCCAATGAGCTCGGCCGTCGTGATTACGTCTCCAACAGGATGTTCGCCAACAAGGGACCTTTCCGCCTCGTCCTCAACTCCGCCGCTGCCAACGATATTCACTGGCATGTCGAGCATTACGAGGGCCGTGGTGTTATGAAGC